CTAGGGTCCTTTTCGTGAATGGAAATCAGCTATGTCCTGCAGCATTTGAATGGTGGAAAAGCACCTGCTTTCCACAAAATCCACGCTGGGTTGCTTCATATGATTATATTACTGTATTGAAAGTTTTAAAGAAGCGCTACGGAAGAATTTTATGGTCTTACAGGGCACCGATGGACTGGAAGAGAGGGATAATCATCCCCAGTTTCGAAGACGTAATCCACTCAGGCTGTGCCAATTACCGAAGAATATCTATGCAGTCAATAACAGGAAAACTCTCCTCCCGTGTCATAAAAGCGCGCACAGGACAGGAAGTGGAGAAACGGACGAGAAAAAACAAAACATAGTTCAGAAAGCGTCATACGTGAAGCGACCACGTATTCTTGATTTGCGTGGTCAGGTAGCAGTATCAAAACAACTAATCCCCCTCGAAACGCAGCGTTATTGATTTCAAAGCCACGTTTGATTCAGTCTATCGACCCACGATGTAGAACATCGGACAACACCGTTATTCAAAACAACTACACTGTGGGCCGGTTGGTTACATAGGTGCCGTGAAAGCTAAAGGGACTTTGTGGCATCGGTTCGAATCGAGAAAAATCGTGAAGCAAAGTGACGTGTTTGGCATTTTCATCATCCACGTGATGAAGAAAAACGCTGTCCTTCATACCCAAAATGCACCGAAGCTGAAGGCGAAGCTCAAGGTCGATTACTGATTACGAGAAAGAAACCATTCTTCCAAGTGACACGTGAAAATTGATACGAAAAACAGAAAGAATGGTGGCGACGGATCTCTCATTCGATAGAAACCGCTCGATTGAAACGAATAGCTTTTAATATCTCGGCTCAACTATTGCTAGTTACAACCGTAGCGATGTTGAGCTGAACACATCAACTACCCTAACGGCAGCAGCATTTGAAAACCAAGCAAAATTCTTCAGTCAGCAGAGCATCAATCTGATGACGAAAATGAAAATCTTCGTATCCTCGGTTCAGGAGGTGCTCTTTACGACTCAGTTACGAGATTTGATGGCTGCGTTGCAGGTGTAAAGAATATCGCGGTTTGACAGAACAACGCGCAAAGCGATGGCGTCGCTTGCTCGACAGATTCTCTTACCGGCATACAGTCATTCCCGAAGGCTAACACCCAACGTGAAACATATCCCCGAGGCACATTTACAGTCGTTCACAAATATTTGCCTCACAGATAAAATGAAAAATTGCTAAAATTTTAATAATCCGCTTGATATCTTCTGATCATCATACGTATAAGCACTTCAGCACCTGGCAAACAGCCTAATGATGATGACGTACAAACACGTACAGTATGGTCTGGCCCTTTTTCGTCTGTCTTGTGGTTCTATGAAAATAACCGCCTTATCAAGCAGGTTATCCCCTCATATGGTGGGAAACACGATAAATTTACAACATAATTTACCTGACCAAGGACGTCTGAAGACATTCTGACATCATCTTCTACGAGATACAGAAATATGGCAATCCAGCGCTGGAAGGTAAAGACTTTTGGTCCACTCGCAGAAAAAGTCTTCTTGAAAGACTGTGATTGCTTTCTCTTTACCTTCGTTTTTCCTCGATCCTAAAATATTTCCTTTCATAGAATCATGCAAATCACTTGGATTACGTGCACTGGTCAGTAATCGGCGATGAATGGCGCCTACTGCAAAATGCTAGCCATTCCTTGTGGTTTAAAGTGAGCATGAGATTTCAAACCATTCTCCTGATTTACATACCTAGCTAGCCTTCTAAATAACACGAAGTCTCGGAACCAATTCTGTCAACGAGATTTTGAACTGAGAACAATCCTGAGCTATAAGATTTTCAGTTAGTAGCTGCCGAACTGACCTATGTGTCTGTCCATTGTAGTAGAAATTATATTTTAAAACAATCTTAGCAATCCATTTCTAGCAGGTGCATCATCACTAGCAGGGGTCAGTGAACTGAGTAACGTTTATCACAGAAAGGACTGAAGCCAATCTAATGGCGTTTCTCATTAGTTACCATTAGTTGTTTCTGCATCATCTGCTTTCAGCAATTCTTGCCAAAGTAAACACGCAACCGCTGATCTAACACAGGTTTGTGACTTTGAATGGGTTTCTTGTGGACGATGTCCCTTAATTTTTAGTTCATACTACATAGGGGAGAATCGTTGGTACTCTCACTTTTTCATCAAAGTTTCGTTGCCAGACTTGATGGCTCCAGGATGTTTGGCAACGAACTGTTCTTCGTTCAGCAACTAAGTTGCTCGCTGGGATCTAGCACTGTTAAGAGCTGTGGAAGACTAACATTCGTGCCGGAGAAACGCTGGTTAAGTAACTGACAGTAGCCTGATTCACATCGGTACGAGAAAGCTATGAATTTTCGAGGCATCCATTTCCGAAAGGGATTATTGGGGTCAGTTGGAACAAACAAAGTTTTGAAACGGTATATAGGCTCAGAAACTAGCTTAAATTTACTTAACACAAGAGTTTTAATAACCCTACCACGGCGTACCTTTATGAGCATAGAAATGAACGCAGCAATAATAATAAAACTCGAAAATTAGCTTACTTTCAGAAAAAAGCGTTTATCCGAAGAAACCGGGTTGTAGGACGCGATGTAGGCGGCAGTCAAGAGATACTTCGTGAAGAAAGGCAATTCCATATTAAACAGTGAAGAAACCAACTTTCGGTCAAGGCAATTTTGAGCACAGATGCGAAAATAGAGTTGACTCGGGATGTCATCGAGAAGAGGCTTGAGATTTCGCCACATGGCCGCCGCACACTGCTCTTTTTTGCTTTGTTCGAGCTGAGGTACATTTGCCACTCGGTTATGAAGCCTTATCGCCTAAAACATTCAGTTAGGTATTGCTGGATAGTTTCTAGATAGAAATACGCTTTACTATGAAATGCAAGTCCTTCACGTTCCGCGTGTACTGGTAGAAAACGTCAACGATTATCTTCGCATAAATTCTGTACGCCTCCAATCCAACGCCTTCAGGACAAGAGGACACCAGAATGGCGAGCAGTTCATCTTAATGACACACTGATAACCGCCTTTGTAGACATCCATAAAAGTTAAAAAATGGATTTAAACTTCAGTGAGCTCTCTTAATTCCGGCAGCATAAAATATCCCTTTATATGTTACGCAAAGGAAGCTTACTTCTAACAGTTTCGAACTCAAGCACTAATTTTCTCCTGTTACGTAGCACAAAAAAAAACTCAACTAAAGAGTCGTATGTGATTCAGATTCATTGGATCAAGAATTAACTAGTCATTCCTTTAACTGGAAATCAACAATGCGGCTTATTCTGTGAACAGTGGTTGCCAAATGTTCTTCACTATCGCGTCGTGATTCGTTCGATGATGGAACCCATTCCTTATCAGGTATCTGCTCCTCAGTCGTACTGTGATATTAATATATAGACGGGGTTATATATGAGAGGCAGATTCAAGATTATCACTGATTCTTACAATTCATAGTGACCAAATCATGAAATCCAAAATAATCAGAACAGAAGTCATGGCCAATTGGACACATGCTTTGTCAGTGCTCATCGCTCATCGAAGTTGCTAACGATAATAAGTATTTTCATCACATCTGATTAATTAATAAAAGTATTTTATCGTGTCGTACCTTTATCATAAGCAGGCAAACATATCTGCAGACAGTCAGAAACCAGACCAGTTCGACAGCATATCTTCGACCAGGGCAGCTGACTTATAGAGATCAGGGACGTATTAACGTTTGTCTATAAACAACCGTTAAACCTTCAAGGTGTAAATATCTCAATATGTAAGCAATTAATAGCAGAAGTAGAATAACTTTGAAATTTATTTTTTGTAGACAGTTACATTAAAGAAAAGGAATACGATCAAATAGTATAGGATTTGAAATAAACGTTCAGCGAGGTGGTACTCCATTGCCTACATTTAGGCGTATTTTCCAGAATTCTATGTATGAGTTGCGGTCAGGTACTTGCCTTTCATCCCTTCACGTCTTGGGAGAGAGAAAAAGACTAAACGCTATAGTAGTTACCTAACTGTAGACATAACCTTAAAAATAGCAACACTTTATACCTCATGACAGAGAAATGGAAATAAATTAATTTTGAGTTCTGTGAAAGAAGGGTAAAACAATGGTACCCAGTCATGAAAGTGTAAGATTAATTCAGATCAAGACGAACACAAAAACAACATTGTAGAGGGCGTCATCCAATAGTCCATAAAACTAAACATATTCCACCGCAAAAGAATGACAAGATCATATGGTTTCTCAGCCAATGACAAATTCGCTGAACTGAGGATACCGTGGCACTGAAGTGAGGGTCAAAGTGATGTGAATATAACATTTCAGAGGACATGTCCCCTAAAAGTTTTCCTGACCGTGTAATTCTGCACTGAAATAGTCGTATTAGGCACTCCGAAATAGCACTTAGGTGATTATAATAATTGACAAGCCATTCATATCTTTCTAGCCAAAAAATCTTATTTCTTAACTATTCCACTCGCTGAATGAACTTACAAACTTTGAAATATTGAGCAATACAGCAAGATTTTCGTACAACGAAAACCTTAGCCTTTCTACATGGTCCAAAACCAAGTAGCAGAACCGGGCTCCTTCGCCTACAACGTCTTCCAGAACGGTAGTCAGAGTGGAGATAAATGTATCAGCAGAATCAACTTTCAACGCTTCCTCGTCGTTCACGCCACTTTCACGCGCAGAGGCTAAAAGTAACCAGTATTCTACGTTTTATAAACTAAACAAAAATAAACAGTGCACTATTATTCATTTACGCTACTTTTCACTATTATTCATAGGTGTATTAATTTTACTGAAATGAAATTCAGATATAAATCAAACTTGTACATCCATAAGTACAAAATGATCCGTTCTTATGCCAGCAGTTGGCGACAGTCCACTAACAATCATTTACGATGCGGTGCCTTACTGCAAGTGTTCACAATCTGAAAATGCACAGGAGACTGACGGTCATTATTAGAGTAAAAGAGAGTTTTAAAAATCTGGTCGCTGTAAGACTGAAAAAATACGTCTGCAGCTACAAGGCTAGTTTTACGAGCTACTCTAGTTAATTTATGCAGCAAACTTTCTGACTGATTGGTGTAAAAGTAAAATCATGTGATTCAAACAAAACTCGAAATGATGAGATGTGATTGCAGATTATAACTGACAACTACTACATCCTTTCACTGCTAACATTCGTGCAACATACTCCTTACAACAAACTGATCACGCAATGGTGTTCAGCCTCACAATCAGCTATGATCAATTAGAAAGGCTGCAGATCAAAGTTAGAAGCCACTGGTTAAACATCATAGCTAGGAGGCGATGATGAAGATTATATGCTAGTCCTGAGTCCGAATTTAATGATGGCCTCTCACCTACTTTTCTTGATGGGTACTAGTAACACTTTCTCTTCATAAAGCATATGGCATTGTGCTGATCGCTGTTTTTGTGCGATCTATCATGGGTGCACCATTTTAAAAACAATAGCTACAGGTATATGACAAATACAGCGATCATGTAGTCTCCTGTTTCTTTTCAAACAAAGGAATACTCATTTATCAATCTTGGAAGGATCAACGAAGAGTGAGCCAACCAGGGATAGAACTCGCCATCTTGTGACGCACATCTTGTCTAATTAAGTATAACACTCATCTAAACTGCGTGCATGAGGCGTGAACTCAACCATCATTCAAAACTATTAAAATACCTGGTGTCAATAAAAATTATGAAACTGGAGTTGTTGCTCCAAATGGATACTAAAAGCAGTTATGTGACAGATTCTCAGATAAGCACAGATCATTGCATCTTATCAAGGGAACTAAATGCCTCGCACTGGGACTGATTCGATATTGAATCAAAGCTATCCCTTAGAGATCGTGAAGTTCTGTTCTCAAAGGTTGATCTTCTCACGGAAAGATAGCACAGTGGAGGACGCGATGGAGAAGTGAGGATACAAAACTAAGTCTTATCACGGGTCTCTGTCTTGTGAGCGTTGGATTATTTCAATTACAAGAAAAGCAACAGAGTACTTCATAAGTCACTGCTATGATATCCCGTTTCAGTGGTCTACTCGACCTTATACAGTTAATAAGGTCATGCATATATCTGTATCATAAACACATTATGAATTGGATTAGGGTAGTTCGATTTGTACAGTAAACAAGATATATCTGCAGCCATTATGATTCAATATCCGTTACACATTCAACCTGAACACCATTCGCGGGACCATTCATTAATTCACTGATCAAGCCACCTTGGCTCCAATGGATAGCAATGATAGGGAAGACTTGAAGTCAGACGTTTAACTCGTGTATATGCTATGCATGTCATACAAACGAAGTGGGCAATCTGTACTTATTAGTCAGAGAAGGTCGAGAGTGGGTCGCTTTGAAGTTCTGTGCAAAGTGACGGTTTACTATACTTTCTCTGTCTAAAGTAAAAGGATCTTCGCTAACCGACATGGTTCCACAGTCACCAACAGAGTTTTCTTGCTGCGCTGAAAATGCGGATCCATCTCAATAATCAGCATCTAACTAAGGAAAATCTGTTTAGGGTTCTATGCTCATCTACGTATATCTGAATGCTTAACTAAACATGTACATTTAAGTGTTAATTTATAAATCAAGTTTATACCATTAAATATTTTATGCTTAGTAGATTTAATAATTTACCTCCTGCTCGTAAGACTTCGCCATAAAATTCCAGGGCTGATGACGATCCGTTTTCCAGGCAATCGACGAAGATGATGTATAACTAAAGATTCCAGAATACAATCTAAGTGGAGAACGTTAGCAATGTTAAAGGAATGTCTATGAAACTAGCATGCATCATATTTCCAATGTCACGAAATTTTAAAAAATCAGTTATTAGGAGAGCGTCTTCTTTCAGTTTAATTGGTAGACAGCATATAGAAGTGCTGCTGTATCATGAAACCAAAAATCAACTAATCCATATTGCACATTTATGGATTAGTGTAGTTTCTATTTTTATTTAAATTTTAAATTTATATACTTTTAGCCAGTGCGTGGCTTCAAAACTTCTCTGTGATAAAGATACGTAACCACAGTTTCAAGCCGCTTATCCAGCTCTGGTGTAAACAAAGTTTAGTGCCACTTTTCTGATGT